TGGGAGTCCCACGGCGCCTTTGTAAGGCCACATGGTAGGCCAGGGCCACCTGCCTGCCCCTCCCCGTTGTCCTGGCAGCTGGCCCTGTGGACCCCTCCCAGGACCCCACCTCCCACTCTCCTGCCTCCTCTCAGGGCCACCCCAGGCCTCTCCCAGGCGGGGTTCCTCCCTGGGCCCTGAAGTCAGGCCTACCCAGAAAGGCACAGGTGACCTGCACCCCGATGGACGAATGAGGTCGCTGGGTCCCGGGAAGCGTGTCTCCTCTACAGGACCTGAGGGGCAGTTAGCAGAGACCGGGTTTGTGTGGGAAACGCAGCCTCGGCTTCTGCCTTCTGAGCTGAAAGGTTTTATTTCGGCCCCTGACGCCACCACACCCCGGCAGCAGCCTGGCTGACCCGGAGGGCAGGGCCTCAGCTGCTGCTCACCAGGGTCACCCAGAGCCTCCAGCCAGCTGGCACCGCTGCCCGGGGAAACCTGATCTCAGAGTCAGCAGCACTTTGGGGTCCCCGTGATTTTGTGTTGTATCATCTATTCCCCCAGGAAGGCAAACACAGCTAGTGTGGTGTGCTCCGTTCAGACTGTGCCAGCAGGGAGCAGGGAGCAGGGAGCAGGGAGGAGGGAACAGGGAGCAGGGAAGGGGGAGCAGGGAGCAGGGAGGAGGGAGCAGGGAGCAGGGAGGAGGGAAGGGGGAGGAGGGAGCAGGGAGGCAGGCTGCCTCTGTCCTCTCCTGCCACAGTCCTGACCAGCCCTAATGGGGTGCTGACAGCTGGCGGGCTGTCTGCTGTGTGGCTCTGATGCCACTTTAAGGAGGGAAGACGGAGGCCCAGAGGAAGCAGGTGCTGCTTGGGCTGCAGTGAGGCCAGGCCTGGCCACGGCTCAGAGACAAGCAGGTGACAGGTCAGAGCCCGGGACCCAGGACCCCATGTCACACCCCATCTCCAGGGGATACAGCATTGAACACCCAGTGGGCGGGCAAAGAGAATGGGCCGACTCCCCAGAGTCAGGAGAGCCCCAGGCCGGTCAGCACCCTCCTAGGACTGGTAAGGCCCCCTCAGACCAGGACAGTCCCTCCGGACTGGTCAGCACCCCGGGACTGGTGGGCCCCTCACCTGAGCTGGCGGCAGCAGGAGGAAGCTGGACGGCTGTCCCTCAGGCGCCTGCAGCTGTGGCCCTGCCTGTCCCCTCCCCACCCCGTTAGT